GCTTTAACACATCCTCTTACTAAAGAAATACGACCGATGTTACAAACAGATGTGACATGATCGACAGAGGTTCCCTAAATCCAAGAATAACAATGAGAAAATTTTGGAGTCCGCGAGTGAAATTTTAAGGCTCGGGAACTTCCAATTTCTCTTTTTTATTTTTCCCTTCCTGCTTCAGCAACAGAATGGAGAACTAATAAAAGAGGATTTTGATATGTTATTGTGATCATTGGATTGAAAACCTAAAGTAACAATCAATCACAAGCCTTACATCTTAACAGGATTTCGAAAGTGTGTTGTTCATACTCAAACCACTCTAATGGTAATTTTTTTAATATTGCAGGCAAAGCTGGCAAGAGAAAGATTGCTTGAGGAAATATCTTCAGCTGCTAATGGATTAATGTGAATTGAGATGAAGCCATGGAGCAGTTGTAAACCTTTACCCAATTATGAAATAAGATCAGAACTCATGTTTCACTCTTTCTGGCACAAAATTTTCTGTAAAATTGCATTTACATGTTGCATTTAAATACATTTTTCTTTAACTCGAAACGATAGTTTAATGGGTAACAAGAATGAGTTGTAAATTCAGACGTCTTTAAATTTGAATATTTGCAATCCATTGGGTTAAGTAACGGAAAATTTATCTCTCGTGAATACCCTAATCTCAATGTAGATGATTTAGTCGGTCCTGACCGATGAAAAAAAAAATGCTTTTGACAGTAGTTGCATGGGGGAGAACCATTACACCTCCTTTTAGCTAGCAAGATACAAAAAAAAAAACACATTCATCACCATGGCTTAAGAAAGGGTGTCGTGTATTAAGGGTGTAGACAAGTGCCAATCCAAAATATTTTTAAAACAGTTAAAAAAATCACAGACAAGCCCCATAAAATCACCCAATTTTAATTTAAGTGCGATCTAAATTTGAATCCGATTATTGGAGATTGAATGATTTTTTGGCCGATCATTTGAATTCAAATCAGTCATATTATGCCTCAAGATGGGTTAGATTTACAAATATCCGATTTGATTTAAATTTATAAAAATATATAAATAGATTTTGAAACTCAGTGAATATTTTGATGAAATTGAGTTAAAATTTAGGTGTAATTGCATAAAATATATGGATCGAATATCCATATTTTTACAAAATTAGATGTGAACAGTGAAAATAAAATCTATATACTAAAATAACTAGATTTCCTTATCTTTAATTTTTTGCAGCTCAAATTACTTGATGATTATTGATCCGACAATCTTAATTGGACTTTCATTCTTTTTAAAATTCTAAGACTTTCATCTCTCATGTAACTCTCTCTCTCTCATATCTCTTATATATATATATATAATAAAACAGTTAAACGTTTGAAATTTTATCACACACATATTTTCTCTCCCAAAATCATTCTATCACTTATTTATATCACATGTTTAATTATTTAATATTTGATTAATTTGTAGTTTAACTTAATTTTTATTCAAACATTATCCATATACGATAGTATACATATGTTGAAAAAATTTGTCGGATTACGTATTTTTGTCGATATTTTTTAAAAAATAATGGGTAAAAATATATTTTAAAAGATGTAATCAAATAAATTAAGGAAATGAAAATTCTTATTTACTATAGTGGGATCGATTTTTTAAATGCTCGAATTTTATGTTTTATCGTGCCTTCAGACATGAGTTATGACTAGTTCATAAATAAGCGAATTGAATTCAGATCAAAATTTTCAATTAGGATTAGGTCTGTTAAAATCCGACACGTCACAATTAACTAACACGAATCGACACGAATTAGTCGAGTTTGAATGAGATCTTTAATGAGCTCAAATTTGACTGGACTAAGCCCAATTTAAATAAACCAATAAAGCCCAAAGAAGAGCCCAACTGAACCTGGGTCGACACATCAGGAGGAAATTCAAAAGGACATTAAGAGGTCAGCCCCCAAGAGGCCAACGTCTAAGAGGTCAACGCCCAAGAGGCAGATGTCCAAGAAGTGAACGTCAAAGAGGCGGACGTCCAAAAATCTAACGTCCAAGAGACGATCGCTCAAGAGGTCAACGCACAAGAGACCAACGTCCAAGAGGTGAACGTTTAAAAGGCGAGCGCGCAAGAGGCCAATGCTCAAGAGGCCAACGCCCAGAGCACCAAAAGCCAACGCCCAAGCACTTGGGGTGCCACCAAGGGGTTCACGCAAGTCAGGTGCTGTAACACCCTGATTTTTCGAACCCATTACTTGATTAAATCAATCGATCGGTAATAAACTATAAATAAATCTCTGAGTATAGGGTCAAAGCTCTAATTGCCTTACTAAATTTTATAATCACAATTTTTGATCCCCAAATACCAATAAAATAATCTCCTCAATATAAATACGAAGTTGTTCAAATTATACATCACCCCAATAAACCCACAAAAGTTAAAAATTATATCAAGATTCGTTTGTCTTCGATTCTTCAAATATTAACTCTAGTCCTTCCCTCAGAGATAATCCTAAAAAATATTAAAGGCGGGGAAGTATACAATATGACAGAAAACAATATACTCAACGAGAAAAGAATATAAATGATCAAATACTAAATAATTCAATCGATAGACAATCATAGATAAAAGAATCAAGAATTCAATTCGATAAATCACATAGCTCAATATCTATCAAACTTAGCCTCATACTCGGGTCCTCTTAGTAACATGACAAGTGACACATGAGTATTTAAAATTCATATTTATATCGAACCATTACACCCCTCAGGACTGTAATCACAATAGCACCCCGTAGGGCTATAATCACATTTCACTAATTATGCCCCAAGTATACTTCGTACATGTACCAATCAATCCCAAAGTATATAACCCAACGTATACGTACAAGTCAACCGATAATATTGATAGAATTTCATATAAATCAGAATAATCAATATAAATACAAAATTTCAGATAATAAAATGATACTATTTGCAAAGAGATATAAAAGACAGAAGCATATTGTATACTACCTCGTACCTTAAATCTATCAATGACTTCAATAGATGCAATATTTGAAATACCCCGAATCAAATAGTCAAATTTGATAGCAATCTAAAATAAAATCACTGTTCAATTTTTTGACCCCAAAATCTCATAAATTTTTTTCTTCTATTCCATCTGTCTCTCTCTTTCTCTCACTCTCCTTCTCCTTCTTCTCTTCCCTTCTCTCTCTCTCTTTTTCCTTCTGTGATGTGTCGTTCAAATAGCTTGGACTTGGCAATTTATAGTCAATTCTTGCTTGGTCTCCAAGCATCTTATGAACACTTGTCCATGTTATTATTTTTTTTTCTTTTTGCACGTTTTCAAATATTGTAAAAATCTAGAATAGGATCTTTCACACACACACATATATATTATATGATTACAATATTTGACCTAAGTTATAGTCATTTGACTTGTTTGCACATAAGAAATTCATATTTGAAATTCATTTATTTATTTGAAATTTTTAAAATCACCCTTAATTATATGGAATCATAAGTGATGACTTAATTATTGTTTTAGTGATTATTTTATATACGGGTTGTCACTGGCGCCGCCCAAGGCTGCCCCCTGATCCTCCTACATCCTCTTGACTCCAATGCAAGGTCAAGCCTACTCCTATTCAAGTTCAAGGACAACATCAAGCCCAGTCCATCTTAGAATCATTCTCCGACAAAATAGGGACACGAGCGAGAGAATATCAGGATACGTAGATCTAATCCTACTAAAATTGTACTTACCAAAATTGTAGAAGACTTCTCCCTCACGTCACTGCCTCACCACCTCATTAAGCCTAAATAATGTAATACTCCCGGAGTTACTCTCCCGGTGACATGATTCATCAATAAAGATCTCCGGCCACAACTGCCGTTCCCGAAAGTGGAGTAGGTCACCCGAACCGAACTACTATAAAACTCTGTGTTAATTCTTTATTTATTGATTTATCATTAATTGTTTGTTTATTACTCATTGACTACACCTTTATAAATCCTCAATTGTTGACCTTGCACAATACTAATTTGTGTTTCATCAATCTTAACGGGTTTGGGTAGTAAACGAGTTGACTCGTCAAACACGTTTAATAAATAGTTCGTGTTCGGGTGAAACTTGTCAAACCGTTTATTACACGTTTACCCGTTAAATAAATTTAATATAATAATTAATTAATAATTATTTAAAAAAATTAGCCAAAAAAAATAAAAAAAATTAATAAAAAAAAAGTAAAATAGTAGTTAAAAGACAAAGGAAGGGAGATGAGGAGCAGTTAATGACAAAGACAAACCAATCTCTTTTATTTTTGTCCCACACTGGTAAATGAGTGGAGATGGAGAGGGTTGTCTTGTCTATAAAAGGCAGTGGTCTCTTGCCTTCTTTTTTAGCTTTCAAGTTTGATTTTTATGTAAAATTTGGTTAGAAATTTCTCTTTTTTGAAGTAAATACAATTGACAGTAAAAAAAGTGGTGTATTAAAATTTGTTGATATAATTTATATAATTTTTTTAAAAACTAAATGGGTTAAAACGAGTCGTGTCGTGTTACCTGTTTATTAAACGAATCGTGTTATCCGTTTATTAAACATGTCGTATTCATGATTTTTCACTCGTTTATTAAACGTATCGTGTACGAATTTACATATTTTTCATCCATCACCCGTTTAATCTGACATATAACCGTTTAACTTGATACATTTGACACCTTTAATTAGGATTCTGAATCGGGTCACTATAAATTCGATCCACAGCCTAAGCACGTCACTCATTTAATTTGATATGTAGCCGTTTAACCTGATATGTTTCACACTCCTAATTATAATTCTGAATCGGGTCACTATAAACTCGACCCACAGCCCAGGCGCCACCAATCCAAGGCTCCAAAACAATGTCCTAGTGGGACCGGTGATCATCGGCATCGCATAACAAAACCTCGACACTAATAAGTGACGAGGCCGTCTCTGGACGAATTGAGAGAGAGGGAGAGAGAGAGATGGGGAAAGCAGCCAGAGAGCAGCTGAGTCGAACCCTTAATGAGCACCTGAACACTACCCATGAGACCTTTCAGGTTCAACCCTTTGCACAGTTCAGATTACCATATATATGTATGTATGCAAAATTCTTTTATTAGGGACTGATTGATGTGAAATTGTTGGTATGTGCGTGTAGTTGTTGGATCAAACACCAGCTTCATCTCTTGATAAAGTCAGCTGGAATGAGGTTATTAAAATTGGCGAACAAGTTTCCAAACAAGCTACTCTAGGTACTCTCTCTCTCTCTCTCTCTGTTTTGCAGTTGATTGTATTTAAAGTTCCAATTTTTGCTATTATGTGCTCTCTTATTGGTTTTCTTTGATGGGGTTTTCTACTTTTCAACTGTCTTTGTGAGATTCTTTCTCCAATTTAAGGTTGCCTACTTGACAGTTGATACCGTCTTGTGTGTAATTTTGATCTTGAAGAACATGAATTTGCCGTTATTGCTAAATTTTGCTTTACCAAGCAATCAATTTGTCGCTGAATTATTTCTTGAAAGTCGATGCTTTTGTTGATGCTCTTAATAATCTTTGTGCCGTTTTAGAGTGTACCAAAAATCTAATGTAATAGGGTGAATTGGATGTTTAATACTACGTAGGGAGTTAGCATCTGAGGCTTAGTTCAGTATGAGTATGATTATGCCCCTTCTTTGAAGAAATAAAAGGAATGCACATTAGAAGAAAACTTAAAGAGTTATTTGATCTGGCTTGTGAGAAAAGAATGACAAAGAAAGGGATAATTTTTCATTTAGTTTCACTTACACAGGCATTAATTGTGGGATTTGAAGCTTTTTAAAATCGTATTTAATCTTTCAGGAATATTGGCAGTCGTAGAACGAGATTATGGGCTGCTTAGATTGCATTCTTGTTCATTCTTAGCATGTCGTCTTCTTATTCAAATTTATTTGATGATGCTTCTTAAGTTGATTTTAACTTTATAAAGAAAATAAGCTTTACTTGCTTTTCCACCAAAGGTGAAGCTTTGCACTAGAGTCTAGGAGTTGCTGGCTGACAGACACACTTCCCCCACTTTAATCTCGTGGGAAATAATCTTCCATTCTATTATGTTACTCTATATTGCCATTTTCCTTTCTCCTATAACCTCTCTCCAAACTCATTGTTATGCATGTGTACACAAAAGATGGAAAAAAAAAAATCAGTCCATTTCCGAACACCCCCTTTCTTTATCTGAATCTTTTGATTCTATTCGTAACTCTCAATTTTGTGGACTTTTTTCCCTTTAATCTTTTGATTCCCATATTGTTTGGCAGTGTAATTTACCACATTTAAAAATAGTCTTTGGTGTTTTTTCCATCATAACTGTAGTAAAAAACTACTTGAGATATTGCATTACAGGTCGTGGAATACTTAGAGCATGCTTATTAAAATCCCGATCCGTCATGCAATCCAGTATAGATAAATCGATCCCAATCTCTTGAAAAATCTCTAATTCATAGGATTTTAATGGATCATGATCAAGCTCTTATAGGATCGAAAATCTCTATTTGATTTGCAATTTTATCGACCTTAAGTTATGTTTTTTGTTAGGTGCATCTAGTTATTGAGCTGACCCAAGCCATCTTTCTTGTTTTAATACTAAAAGACATAATCCAAATGTGGTTAACCTATACACTTATTAGTTTATTGGAGAATTTTGGCGGATAAGAAAAAATAAAGAAAGTTTTCTTCTTTCAAGAAAGCTCTCTTAATTCTTTCATCTCTCCAACTGAACAATTGAAAGCAAGTGTTAGATTCGATCTCCTCTATCGGCAAATGATCACAGTCTCCTCTATCGGCAAATGATCATAATCAGATACTCTTCCATTTTTCTCTTATATTTTTTTTCTATTTGGATTTTGAATAGTCAAAGTTGTTTGTTCAACAATCTCTCAGATTTCCAATCTCTCCGCTTTATCCACCTTTCTTTGAAGTTAAGATTTAAATATTTCAATTATCCTATTTCTTTTCCTAAAATCTCACAGGAATAACAACCCATATTTAATTTTCAACCATTTTTAATGCTCAAATTGTAGATTCTTATACTTTCATGATTTATATTTGTCATAACATTCCTATTTGCACATGTATTATGCTTGTTTAATTTTGTTTTTAATTTGTAGATGTTTTTACCACTGTTGTGATGACTATTTTTTTCTTTTTTTTGGGTACCACAACAATGGTAAAAATATCCACAAATGTGGTAAAAACGACCACAATTGTGATAAATGGAAGTATGGTACCAAAAAAAAAGTTCAGTACCGTAGTCAACTCCTAAAAACCTTGATCTAGAGTGTTGTAAATTAGATGCTGATATTTTTTTTGTGCCACGATGATTCTCACTTGAAAAATTATATTTCTATGCTTATATTCCTCTTAACACGTGTTTATTCTGCCAAATATAGCCCAATAGATGCAAATGTTAAGTTTTATGGATAACTGGAATCTGTAAAATAAATTGTCAAGAACTTGGAGAATCTTTCTGGTTCCTTTCAGATCTATTTGACCTGAAAGAAAATACTCGCATAGTACCATAATTTTGTCTACCAAGTTAGCTAGTCAGAAACATGTTGGAACCTTCTAAAAAAAATATTGCTTGAGCTGGATGTGTTTAAGCACAAGATTTCTCCAAAAGAAGTTGAAACAAACCTTTAATGTAAATCAGGCAAGAAAAAATAACCCTTGTAGATGTAATCCACGAACACACACATGTACCTAAACAAACCTAGATGCATAGAAATATAAGCACATGCTTACAATATCTACGGTAATTTTTTATACATTTTCCAGGTGACAGCTTCCACATGTTGGCTGTTTTATCTTATTGAAGATATTATCTCAGTTCATGCTAGCTTGTATATGGTTCATGACCTATTTTGCTTTCTTCATGAATTTATCCACACATACATCTTTGGATGACTTTAACTGCCTTTTAGGGTCCCCCGTTTTTCATCTGTTCTTAAGACCTAGCTCCTATTCTTTATCACCAGCCAGCTTTCCTCCTAGTGGTCTATTAGCCAACTGGTCGCTATGCAGTAGCTCTCCGCCTCTTTTGTTTCCGTTCTATTGCTTGCCTTTTTCACTTCTACCTCACCCTATGCTTAGCTAACCATGTTCTTCGGAAGAAAAACCTATTGGCTTAAAGGGTTCATACTTCACGTCTCTGAAATTTAGCCATAACTACTGGCCATGGCCTTTTGTTACTGACCTTTGAATATGCTCCTTGTCCGCAAGTCTTGGGAATATCAAACAATTTGCTGGGATTTTAGATTGGGCAGCTTATAGAATCCTTATCCAAGGCATCAATTACAAGGATGGCTACAATTGGCCACAATGGCCATATTTTACAGGGTGCATTTTGGGTCTTTAGAGCTGGCACAGGTTTGCTGAACATGCCATCAATGATATGACTTACTAACTACTAACCTTAGCACTAGACATATATCTTTAGCAGCACCGAGTTCCTGGTCGTATATGCACTTCATGGTGATTTAGGTGTACTCTCTAAACACCATTTTCATTTCTTTCTTATCAATCAGAGAGAAGAACCATTTTGGTTTTCTACGAGTGTTATATTATTGCAATGATTGCATGTTTGAAGATCTAACACAATGATCATATTTTTATTGAATTTGAAAAGCAGTGTTGTAACATGAAGGGAAGCTGGAAGCATGTACTTTGCCTTCCTATATTTAGTTTCTTTGATAGTGACAGGATGTTGGTAGATATTAGCAGTCTAATTGAGCCTCTTGGCATGTTGCACGAGGGGATAGGATTCTTCGAGTAAGTAACTGTGTCTTGAATTTGCCATGCAGTTGGAATGCTTTGGACTGGAGAAACACCAGAAGTTAAAGCACTCGAAGAGAACATGGCAACATACTTCAATACACTACAGGGTTTCCTATTACTTGCACATGGAAGTTCAGTAGGTGCAGGACCTACCCTTTTGTCTAGCATCCATGCATCCGTGAAACAAGTTGTCGATTGCAGTTTTATGTTATTGAAAGAGTCTGTCTCTGCCTATGGTACTCTCTCTCTCTCTCTCACACACACACACACACATGCCCAAAGTACTGGAACTTTCGAAATGATTAAGTTGACGTTGCTTTCGCTTAGATCTTTTGAGTATTAAGTTATAACTGCACTGAATGAATAAATTTTATTTTGTGATTTTCCTGTGTCTGATGTTGATGTGTGATCTTAGTCATCGGCTGCATCACAACTGTAACAATGATTCAATGTATTAAACACTGGTTAAAGATTACAGTTGGATGTCTTTTGGAGGAGAATATGATGATAGTTACGAGGTGTAGTAATTTTTACATCTGTTGGGATTTAAGGAGCTTGCATGTGTTCCATACATCAGTTTCTGTGCTCACACACACAGAATGTCTCATTTTCCCTTATATCCCATTTTTTCTTCATGCGAGAAAAGTTCCCTTAAAACAGAATACATCAAGGATAAGCAAAAACTGCGAGGACTTCATCCTCGGTCTATCATGTTTTACAGTGTGAGTATACTACACTGGAAATAAATGGAAAACAATGACTTCAATTGCTGAACCACTCTGTATTCCCTTGAAACGTTTCTCAAAGAGCTGCCCTTTAAACCTTTTAACGCTAGGGTATATAGAGTTGAGAAAAGTTTTTACGTATGAAATTGCACTTTCATTATGGGTTTTGCGCATAGGAAGAGGCAAAAATATGGATTCTACCACCATGTTCTCTTCTAGTAATTCTGTTTGATTCCTGGATGTGACTGCAAATTAAAGATTTTAATCATACTATGCCATTTAACACTATCTGGCTCGGTAGAGCAGCAACCCTCTTGCAAGAAGGGGATAACTGTGTCCAATCGGGCTTGATATTAGGCTTGGTTGCGTTACAGGAATGTCATCTGACAAATAGATGAAGTGCCTACCAAGTTCCAATAACTCCTCGAGGCATAAAACAAACTGATACTTACCTGTTTTTCTTTCCACAAGATTATTTTCTGTATACTCATTTTACAACATGTCCACGAGTTATGCATAGTTCATTCATCTTGATTGTTCATTTCAACTAGTTAAATATGAATGGTATGTTTTCTTAGTATATATTGATGCAGTTTCAGTGAATTTATTACATTTCTTGAATTTCTTCCGGTCAAAAGCAAGCAAGCTTATTTCTTGATTTCTTCTGAATCAATGTG